TGTGTGTGCGCTGGGCCTCTGTACCGATTTTTCATCTCGAGACCTACAAAAGCTACAGGGCTGAAAACTTTGGAAACTTAATCTACATGTGCGTACCGGCTCCAATCCCCAAAATGAGCGGTCTTACCCGTACGGTACCCACGTAAGAGCCCGCCAAAGTTTTTTACGGGTAAGCTGCTAACTCGTGAATCAGAAATGCTTGGAGACTGAAATTTTAAGAGGATGTCACCCGTCTAAGTACATATTAATGAGCTAGAACCCAGCCCCCGAGTAAGCGTGGTATACGGGCCCGCCAAAATTTACGGGCCCGCCATTAATACCTAATTGGACAGGCAACATCCCCTTAAGATTTCAGCATTTCCCGCATACGGGCCCGCCAAAATTTTTTCGGGTAAGTTTATAACTCGAGGATCTGAAAAGCTAGAATGCTGAAATCTTAAGGGGATGTTGCCTGTCCAATTAGGTATTAATGAGCTCAAACCCAGCCTTCAGTAAGCGTGGTATCCGCGTACGGGGCCGCCAAAATTTTCTTCTGGTAAGTCGCTAACTCGGAAATCTGAGAAGCTAGAAGACTGAAATTTTGAAGGGATGTTTCCGGACAATCCTGACGGCCAGTCTGAAATTCCTTTAGCTAGAAGCATCTGCCGGAAAAACCAGTGTAGTTAGGGACAAAAATCTGCGGGGAGCTATGCAAAAAACGCATCTTCGCATGGGCAGCCTGTTCGTATTGAAAGATGTGATTTGGACATGAAAAATGGAAGACATTGCAGAACAAAACTGGCGGTTACGGAGACATTTTCATGGCGTGCTGCAACCCGTGCTTCCAAGTGAACAAAACTAACTGGCTAGTGTGGCTGAAGTCTCAGTACACGTTGCGTCACCACTTTGCCATTACGGATTCGTCGGAGTTGGTTTTCCAGAACAGAACAACAAATCTATACAAATGGACCTTTGAATACCAAGAAAAATCACTATCGGAGGAGATCGGCGAATGCCTGTCGACAAATTTCAGAATCGTACGTTTACTGTATATTTTGCGTTTTTATGCGTTTTTTGCATCTATGCAAAGCAAAAACGTATGTTGTCGGAGGGTTGTCTGAGTGTGTTTGTCTGTGTGTTCGTTTGTACCGATTTTTCATCTCGGACCTACAAAAGCTACAAAGCTTTTGAACTTATCTACGTGCATATTCTGATCCCCATCTCCAAAATGGGTGCCTTTGCCCATGTGGTCCCACGTGCGGTCTCGTCAAAATTTTTGGCGGGTAAGCAGCTAACTCGGAAACCAGAAAAGCTAGAAAGCTGAGACTTTGAATGGACGCTCCCCGTCCATGTAGAGCTTAATAAGTTCAAACCCAGTCACCAAGTATGCGTGGTTCCCATGTACGGGCCCGCGAAAGTTTTTTGTAGATAAGTTGCTGGCTCGGAAACCTGGAAAGCTAGAAGGCTATAATTTTAAAGGGATGTTCCCGGCCCACGAACTTCGTGACTTCAGGCTCTGCTTCCAGTTGCATGTGGTTCTCACAACCAGTGAAAATTTTCGGCGGTAAGTTGCTAACTCGGGGACCAGCAAGGCTAGAAGCTGAAATTTTAAAGGGATGTTTCCTGACAGTCCTGGCGGCCTGTCTCAATTCGTTTAGCTTGAAGCATCTGCCTGAAACACCGGTGCCATAAGCTATAAAAAATTGCGTGGGACTATACAAAAAATGCGTCTTTGCATCGGCAGTCGGTGCGCTAACGAATTATTTTTTTGTTGACTTTCTGAAGGAATCGCAGTCTGAGAAAGCGCAGAATGGCGCCGAAATATGTTGTTATTACGTGCATGTTTCGAATCTTCAATAACTCGCATCATAGCACGCTAATTTTAAGATAAGCCATGTGATGCTGCACATATTTTACACGCTGGTATTGAAATAATGAGGCTCCCTGAGGTTCGCATTTTGTGTGTATTAGTTAGTAAGTTGTAGATTTGCAACTTTTCATCCGAAAGATTTTCCGCCTTGCTTTAGCCAGCATCGACAGAAGGCTACTTTTTGCATTTTTTATTCTCTTTTGATATCCATTCTAGTCTGTATTCTTAGGAGACGATGGTAGGGACTGATTGATGCGGAGAATTCAGGAGTAACCGAGATGTTCGTGACCAGTTTTTCCTTGCCAGTGAGGACACAGTCCGTTTCATTCTCTGTTGAATTGTGGCAATGTCTAATTTCTTCCCAGCCACTCGTCTGAAAAAGAATCATCTTGTAAATTGAGCGAAGTTGACCAGTCTTCGCTATCCCACTGCGCACGCATCTTCGCAGAGTCGCCTTAACTTTTTAATGGAAACGTTCAGCATCTTCTTCCATACCACATTCGTCGCACTGATGAGGTGCAACTGTGATAATAGTAAGAAATGTATACGACTTAATGAACCGAAACATTTCTCATCATTATATTAATTTAACTACCTTTACTAATCTCTTAATTCGTATTTCGAATTTTCTCTTCAATTCTCCTTCCTACTGCAGTATATGTTTCTACTGCAGTAATTTTCATTATCCGGCGACAGTGCGATGTGCCAGCATATAAGCTGCATTTAAGATGCTCTATTTTTTAGTACTACACTTGGCCGTACACTAAAACTTGTGCACCTTAAATTCATCATTTCCCGACACAGCAGCAAAGACCTTTTTTCTGCTATCGCAGCAGATGCTTTGCTGCACGGTGGCTGCCTGATGTTCTTATGTCGAGAACGACCTCGGTACAGCGAGATTCTTAGCAACAAATATGCTTGAGAGCTGCCTTGTTGCCCTCACTGCATTTGCCCAGGACGATTGGCTATTTCTTTTCAACGTCGCTGTTCAGAACAGTGCCGCATTGTCTTACGATACTGTCTTGAGTTTCATCGCCACAGCGGATTACCAGGCCAATGTTTATTCTCCAAACAGATGCAGCTGGCAAGGTTTTGTCCGTCCAGAGATTTTCTTGAGCGCCACCACTTTATATCGCACATTGCCTCTTCGGAATTACGATGAAGTACCATACCTGTCTCTTGCTGGCTATTTGCAGGTACCACTGTCGCGTCATAATTATGTATGTTTTGTGTCAGCATATGACCGCCTGAACAAGCAGACCATATTGAATCGAATTCGAGCACCGACACGTCAAAACGTGCAGCAGATTATCAAGCTTGGAATTTTTAGTGCGCAGAATTTGAAGTATTTTAAACACGGCGTATGTAATAATACGGTTTCAATGGAGGTAAGGCAGTAGCTCAAAATGTACACTACCTTCGGGAAAGGGAAGAGGGACAATACCGGCTCAAAATGGAATCGTTCAACTCCTCGAAATTTATTCACTGCACCTACTAGTAGTCGCTGTAATACTTTCTCATTTAGCGTACCGTTAGTGGGTCAAGAGTGTTTTTATGGTTTTGGGAGTGAATGTGGGCGAAATTGCCGAATCAGTAACATCAACCGTTGATTTGGCAGTCAATAGCTGTTTTCGTAAGATTGTGAATCTCGAAAAGTAGCAGTGGACGAAGTTGCAATGAATGTAAAAGAAAAACTGTCGTTAAGAAATGTGTTTCAGACACATAATCATTGCACTGTTTACATAACCATGGGCGGGAACTATGGATATGAATGCTGTTGCTATGGAACTGGAGCCGTTCTTTGTCAAGGTCACTTCTATGCCTAGCTTGAACTAGCAGCTGAACTCAGCTCACTCTTGGAATTCGGAAGGGTTGTAAGTTTCGTGCCCAAGAAAGCAAAATTTAGCTTTACGCTTATCCATGCGACTGCCAGAGACTTTTTCCAAAATTTTAAACTAGTAACATTTTTGCTTCTCACTTTTTAAAACACTGCAAAATGATTTTAGGGCGAGGAACAGCAGAGACACGAAACGATTCAGTAGTGATCTTGAAGTTTTTAGCTCTCTACGGGCAGGGATTTTCTCATGGGCTCTTGCTGAGTTTTGAAATTGAAATGTGCGATTGTACATGCATGGACTACCGCGGTCTCATTTCATTGCGTTTTTGCATCGTAATGCAACTCAAAAACGCATAAGATCGGGTAATAATAGTTGCAGATTATTTGTATGCTTACTTTTTAACCTCAACTTTAGAAAATTTTTTGAACGGAATCGATATTGGTCTGAGCAAAGACTTTGTTCTGACAGAACATAAGGCATGTGCTTTCAACCATGGAGGCGCATCATTTACCGTCTCGTTTAACGGAACTGGAATCATTTATACTGGTAATGGCACTGAAATACTGGAAAACGCCAGAAAATCAGAGGTAAAAATGGCATTAAATTTCGCCAAGATTTTACGTTATAGATGCATACTTTTTGGTTACCTGTAATTTTTAATCAGGTTTTTCAGCTACGCAGTGGCAATTTTTATGCGTTTTTGCTGTGCAGCTCCGCAACGCTGCAGCAGCCAGCAAAAACGCACATTGTCGAGAGGTTATCTGTGTGTGTGTGTGTGTGTGTGTGTGTGTGTGT